AAATTCCTTTTCCAGCTACTAACCCAGGAGCAATGCCTTCCTCAACTGAGTAAAAATATACATGCTATTGGCCAAAATACTAAATAATATTTTACTAACAACTCCTTGATTAAGCTAAGCTTTCTACGTGCACCATGCACTTCCAAAGACATATCACTTCTCCCTCCCCACACCTGTTGTCAGGTGGGCAGTGTTGTTACCATTAGCCTCATTTTACAGGTGGGAAAACTAAGGTGCAAGGAGGTAGAGGAGCTTGCCCAAGGTCACACACAAAGAAAGGAAAAGCCGAAGGATGACAGGAAGTAGGGTGACCAGGTCGCTCGCACCCGCACTCATGATCTCAACCACGGGCTGCACTGCCTCCAAACCACACTCTCTGCGGCAGGTATGTTTCCTGGGCCTAGTTTACCACTTTGCCCGCGACCCAGATATCCTTTGGCTATTGAGCACTAATCCTTGTTTAGTGGCATTTATTGAGTGGCCACTCATGAACAGTCTTCTCTGAAAAAACATGTTCAAAAGGCAGGCCTTAGGAATCGTACTATACCTTCACATGTGTAGCACTATCTTCACGTGTGCAGCTCATCTGTATTTTGTCCTGGAACAATGTGATAGGCTAGGAGGGTGATGTGATTACCTGTCTTTTTACCTAGAAAAGAAGCCCCACGAGGTCTGTAATGGGCCACAGGTGGGTGCTAGCACCTGGCTTCTACTCCAGGGTCTCACTCTGCTGTGTTCATTAAGAGCCAAGCTTAACTTCCCTGAGACGTTAAGGGATTTCTTTAGCAAATAAGTTATATGTATTATTTATATATAAAAAGATTCGAGCAATTGCAAATGAAGTGAAGGAGCACTTAAGGGAGAGGAAAGTAATTCTCTTCCACTTGAGGAGCACCTGCAGGGTAACCCGGAAGCATCAATAAAAGGTTAAATTCCATTCTCTCCTCCCTACTTAAGAAAGCAGGGCTCTTAGTCGCTAGCCAACAGCTCCCTGAGAGGGGAGATGTTAAAAACAACCATTGCTGTCAGAGGTTCCACCCTGCTAGGGCTCTCAGACTCAGCACTGCTGACATCTCAGCTGGATAATTCTTTGTTGTGGGGGCTGTCCTGTGCACTGTAAGGCAGAGGTCCCAAAACCCCAAGCCACGGACCAGTACCGGTCTATAGCCTGTTAGGAATCAGGCTGCACAGCAGGCTGTGAGAGGCAGACCAGTGAGCGAAGCTTCATCTGTATTTGCAGGCGCTCCCCAGCACTGGCATCACTGCCTCAGCTCCACCTCAGATCATCAGGCATTAAATTTTCATAGGAACACTGGCCCCTGGTGCCAAAAAGGTTGGGCACCGCTATAAGGCATATAGCAGCACCCCGGCCTCTACTGACTAGATGGCACTGGCCACCACCACTCTCAGTTATGACAACCAAGAATGTCTCCAGATATTGCCAAATGTCCCCCAGTGGGGCTCAATCCAAGTTGGTGAGACCCTAATCTCTTACCCCCCTCCCCAGTGTGAAGAAGGAATGAGAGCACAAGAGAGAGAACTACTATTTTCTACCAGCTCATGTACTTTTATGTCAAACCGTGCCTTGCCCTAGGAAAATGGATGGTGGGTTTGAACCCTACAGATGTTTGGTCCTCAACTCCTAAGAAAACACACTCTGCTAGCAAGAACAGTCCCAATAGTGCCTGGAAGTCTGAAAGGCCTCTTTTACTCACAAAATAATCTGCAAGCTGGGGGGTATGCATGCCCTTTGCAAATGCTTTAAACACAAATACACACAAAAGATCACTGGCCATGAGAACTCGAAATACATTTTTTAAAACACGCATTTATCAAGAATTCTCTAATTATTGTTGTGAAACATTCCCCCAACACTCTCACCCTTCTTAGTGCTCGTCTGTTTTTGTTTAGAAATCACTATGGCTGCCAGAGAGAGAAAGATGTATGAAATACAAAGATGTCAAGTCTCAAAAGACTGGCTGACTTCCGTCCTTCCCTAAGACTTTATTGAGCATCTATTTTCTGCTAGACAGGAATACAAGGTCAGTGGAGAGATCTAACCTCTTTACAGATTTATAGGTTTGTGGGAGTTCAAACGTGAGACACAGGGCACTAATGGTGTTCTAATTGCTGAGATAAAGGCTTAGACAAGCAGTCAATAATTTCTTGAAGAAATGAACGAGTGGGTGAATCGAGGAACTGAATGAATAGCGGGTGCATCAACCAGAGCTCTGTTGAGGCCATCTTAAGTTGTTAATAGCACAGCTCAGGGCCAGACATGTTTGAACTCTGGATCCCACCACTGGGTAGCTGCTCAACTTGATAAGTTACCCCGTTCCTCATGCCCTTGTTTCCCTCACCCGTAAAATGGGTTTAAGATAGTACCTATCCCACAGAGTTGCTATGTTAAAAATTCTTGGACAGGGCTGGAAGTAAATGCTCTCGGAGCATTTGCAAGTGTCTTTCTCTCTCTCTTGCCCACCCAGGGGCTTCACACCCAGGAAGTTGGACTCATTGCAGGTACCTGGAACTGTAGTGCCAGGTGCTCATGCCCTGAGCAGACCAGTGTAACCAGTAGCTCTAAACCTACTCCCCAACTCCCCTACTTCCTCTCTCCCACCCTACACCCCCCACCTAAAAATAAAAAAAGAAGAAAAAAAGCTTACAAGTGGCCCAGGGCAGCAGAAACAATTAGGGCTGAGCAGGTCTGGCTCTGTCTGGAACAAAGTGCTCAAGCCCCAGACCTGAAACTCGCAAGTAAAAGAAATCTTAAGTTTTGGTAAACTCCGCCCTGCAGTCCCTTTGCAAACTATTCTCTTATCTCTCTCTTCATTCTTTCTCTATCGGTTCCTCTCCAACTCCTAAAGCTTTCACAGTAATCACCACTCTCAGTAAACTTTCCAGGTTTTTGATATTTGATTAGGGCAAGGAGAGAGGCTAATCAACTTTTCAGCTGTAATTCTGAGTAAGTCACTGTTTCTAATAAGAAAATCACATAGGCAAAATTAATGAAGCAGATCTTTTTTTAAAAAAGTTATCAGTATAGCTACCATGAAGCTCAAAGATATAGATTAGTTCATAGGATACATTAGAACCTCTTTATGAATTTGAAAACAGGGCCATTTCTTTTTCCTTTGTAATAAAATCAAAAGAAGGCAACTATTTAGAGTCTGAAACTGAGCTGGAATCCCCAAACTCCCACATAGTACGAACTCCAAACCTTACCAGATCCTCACCTGGAAAATGGGACTATCACCATTGCTATCACAGGATCACAGGATCCACGGGAGGAGTCATGGTCACGGCAGGTCCTCTTCCCTGAATGGACTATAAATTTTCAAGGGAAAACAGAGTGCCTGTTTCAAATGCAATAAAATACAAGGAGAGAAAGCCAGGGGAAGTCAGAGGAAAAACCAAGGGAATCATTGAAGCCAAAACTAGAAAATCTTGGTCATTTTGCCTCAATTCTCTAGCAAAGAGATAAGCAACAGTAAACGATTATTAATAATAAAGGGCCTTTATAGACCTAAAAACAAAAAAAAAAACTACAAAGCAACAGCCTGAACCATTATGGACTTTACCTAAGCCAAGCAGAGATCACTGTGATTGGGTGGCTGGGAATACAATCCACCCTATAAACTAAGAAGCCAGCAGAAATAGTCCACGTTCATGACAAATACCCTGTGCTTTAAATCTAAACACTCTTAACTCCATGACGACCCTCCAGAGTCCCCTGGAAATGTTCCCGAGAGCTGACCTTCCTCAGGTTGAAACATTGAGCCAGAACCCACTGCAGTAATGAACGCACATTCAGTAACCCTGTCTTAAACTCATCTTTACTAATTATAGTTCCATTCTGCCTCTAAGCCCTTCCTACCTGTAATTTTAAGAGCTCGAGGTAATTACTATCCAGCAAAGTTTTGTTTTTGTCGCGAGTACCACATAAATAGGAATTGAACGTGCACAGCTTCATTTTGCTCCACCATGTTCAACATTGATTTTTGTCGTTAATCACTCACCCAGCAACCAATTATCTACAGAAATTCAGAAGTTTGCTGAGCTTGAAGAAATGTGGAGATAATGTCTCTCTAAGATTTGGAATGCATTCAGAGCCTTTCTGAACAGCCCAATCTACGCTGTTAAAAAAAAAAAAAAGTAAGATTTCACAAAATTTCCCTTGGGATGACAAGCCCGCAGTGATCTTCAGTTTAATGTTACACATCGTCTAGCAGAGGAAAACAGTAAGTCAATCCAGACCTAAAAGACTGTGATGTTAGAAAAACAAGGCAGTGAAAATTCAATTTCTTAATCAGCTCTGCTTACGAGGAGCAAGGAGCAGTGGAAAGAACTTAGCTTTGTATTCAAACAGACCCGAGCACTCTTCAACCCTCGGCTCTGCCACTTCTTCTGAGCACTGTGAGCTGCCACAAGATCCAGCTCCTCTTTGGGCCTCAGTTTCCTCATGTATAAAGTGAAGCCACTGCCACCTGCCTCTCAGGAACATGCGGATTCAGAGAATGAAGGACAAGTGCTGAACACACTACCTGGCACTTGAAAGGAGGTCGATAAACAAATGGGAACTATTCTTACAACCCTGGGGTTATTAGCCCTGTAGGTCAGGTATTTGGAAACCACCTTCCCAAGGGAAGTACAGTATGAAGTCCAGTTTTTAGTTCATCCAAGGACACCTGAGCCAAAATGACAACCGTCGTCCAAAGACACCTGAGCCAAAATGACAACCGTATGATAAAGAATGTCCTCACACTGGAGTCATAGACCCAGACCAAATCACCTGCACTAAAAGTACAAGAGCTGCTGGTTTAACATGGCACTTCGTGCTCTCCTCCCAGCTCTGGTGCAGAGGTAGCCACTACTAAGTTTATTTTGCCAGTTACCAACATGCCAAAAATGGGTCCAGCCACATTCTCCACCAGCTTCCCAGCCCCAGGCGACACCCTTGCACAACTTGGTTAAGTACATACTCCTTGAGCAATATGTACCTGCCCGAATCTGGCCTCCTTTCTTCACTCCCCATTTCTCTGCATGAACTGTGCTTCCCTCTCTTCTGGCAGAGAAGTATCTCAAATCAGTCATTTAAAACATGGTGCAGGGACCTAATAAAAGAAATTCTAATTTAAATTGGAGTAAAGCTTTTCTTGTGCCAATGAACTGAGTAGGTATCTATCCAGGTGACACCTGACCTCCCCCACTCCACTCCACTCCACCCCACCCCACCCCACCCCCTGCCAACCCACACAGTTCTCTGTGCCCATCATAATTCTAAGAGTTCCCAACTTACTGTAACCCACGGTTTATACTTCCACAGGCTGTAAGCTCCTTAAGTCACAGATTGAACCCTGTTAACCAAGAACTCAGTGCGGCATACAGAGCTTTGCCAGGAGTGGGGCCTTTATAAGAATTTGCTAAATGAGTGAGTAAAGGAATGAAACAACAAAAACAAATAAGAACGTGGTGTGAATTTGAGATGAAGCACTCTCCCTCCCAGGGATAGTGGTTTGAAGGACTAAGGGCAGGGCACGAGGAGGAGGCTGAACTGGGGCTTCCCCTACGTAAAAGCCGGTCGGCCTTGGTGCTATTTCCATCAAATCCCTTTTTTTCCCCATTTTCAGGGTTTTCATGTCATAACTTATTTCTTGAGAACAGCTATGTCACGTGACAGAATGAAGTAAGTGCTTGGTCATTCAGGGAAAATAACCTAATTTTCAATTCCCCTTGAACTTTGTTTTCTCCTGTGATGCCAACCTCTCAGCCATTTCGCTGCCCTTTAGTGCCAGGATCAGAGGAGAAAAAGAAAGGAAAAGTTCAAGATCAGCTGTGTTTTTTAAAAAGGTCAATAGCATCTCTTAAATAAATGGGATTCAGGGGGAAAGGGAGTTAAGGAGGCCATTAAATTTCTTTAATCACCCCTCACCCCATTGGCACAAGGAAATTAACTGTCCCTACTTGAAGGGAGAAGAAAAAAAGAAAAAAGGAAGCCAATAGGGCAATCTATTCTTCACGCAAATCAAAGATCATCCTTTCTCTAAATAAAGAAGCCCCTCACAAATTATTCTTATTTTTCTTCACTTTCTTCTAATCACTTTAGAATAGTAGAGCTGCTACCGCAAAGTGAGAAATGTTCCAGTAAATCTTTTTAGGTTCATATTTACATACATTTTTCCTTCCTTCCTTTCTTTCCAAAATGTACTATTCTATTCACAGCATAACTTTTGCTGTTCAGGTGGAACTTTTCAGACACCAAGAGTTCAATAACATCCTCAAGTAAACATTTTCCCATAAAATACAGACAAGATTAGCAAATTAACAAGCCATTTAGTAACATGGCTTCATTCTGTTGGCCTAGTCCAAAAAAAAAAAAAAAAAAACTAAACAAACAAAAAAACCAACAGTAGGAAAACACTTTCCATATGGTATAGCTCCCCAAAGGTTGAGGATTCGGCTCTGGGGCCACCCTGTGAGACCATGCACTCCACATAACCTCCATTCTCAAGCCAATACAATTAAGAGGGCTCCTACGGTGGCCCCACTTCCAGCAATTGAATACAGCGACGGGAGCAGGGCATGGTAGTGGAAGGTGGGAAAAAGAGAAAAACCAACTGGGTAAAAATTCCACAAGTTTTTATTTTTCAAAATGAATGTTGTTTTGACTCATGTTCAGAGCTAGAAATGAACGCAAATGTTCCTCTACTTCTGGAGGGCATTCTCTTGAAAGTATGTCACTCCACTACTAATAAAAAATGCAATACAGAAGCAAGCACCCAAAAAAATCAAGTCCACTGGTTTGTGGCCAGGTAGCAACATCTAGGTGGGAATCTAATACAAACATCATACTTAGGTACAAAGTAAATTAACCGAGATCCCAGGAGACTTATCACAATAACATGGGCACTGCAAACATACTTTCTTAATAAGATACATATGATCAAATATATATTCAATTTTTCCTTAGTCTTATTCCTCTATCATTTTTAAACTTTTTTTTTTTTTTTTTAGGAGAGGCAACCCTTGGTTGACCACACAGATTGCAAGGACCCTGTCAGCTTGTAACCCCTTATTTTTTTCTTTTTTATGCCTACAGCACTTGATCTTCCTAGGTGGTCTCCCATCCAAGTACTAACCAGGCCCAACCCTGCTTAACTTCTGAGATCAGACAGGATCTAGCTTGTTCAGGGTAGCATGGCCATAGACTTCCTCTATCATTTTTAAGATCATTTGACAAGTGGCTAAAGTCTTACCTCAAATGTGCTATGCTACTGTAAGGCACTAATACCCTAACTCCATTATTCTATCAATAAGAAATTTTCACCGTTACACCTGCTGGGCTCAATCACACATCAGGAAGAAGCTTACCCAACAAATGCACAGGTATTAACATAGTATCAACCACAAAACCTTAAGGATCTTGTTAGCTTGCTTTTTTGAAGGAAAATTCCCCACAGTTATGCAAAATTATTTTTTGGCAGGGGGTGTCCAAAGGCTGCTGGATTCCTGAAGTATTTTTCTTCCTTTTAACTTGAAATCCTTTCCAAATAGGACAAGTCAAATTATCACTATTTCTCTCAATAGGACAAACCTGTATGATAACCTTGACTTCATGACTTCAATTTCTAAACTCCCACCTCCTTGGCAAAAAGTGCTCTGGCAATATTTACTGTAAACAGAGAGGTAGAAACAAAAGGAACGCCAGGAAAAAAGCACCCTCTGCAGTCTCAGGCTGGAAAGCTCCAACGACCAGGCTCTTCAGGTGGGGAGGTGGATTACAGAAGGCAGTCAAGAGTGCCTGATCAGGATTGTGCTTTCAGTGAGCAACGAAGGAAACTTTTTCTAAAAAAAATTTATAAAGAGTGGCTGAGATGAGTTCTGTATTAGGACTGATCTTCTCTAGGAGTCCAAAAAGTGGCTGTGGGAGCACACCCCAAAGCAGAGGTTTTCAAATGTGGCGGCACATTAGAATCACCTGGCTTTTTAAATCCCATTGCTCAGGCTGCACCCCAGCCCAGCTGAATCAGGCTCTCTAGCGGTAGGCCTAGGCATCGGTACTTCTAAAAATTCTGTAAATATACAGCCAAGTTTGAGAGCCAATGCCTCAAGACAATTCCCAACGTGACTGAACACCGCGTTGTGAGTAGCGTTGGAAAGACGCTGCATCCCCGGGATGAGGGGGTACACACATAGTAAATATACAAAGTTTTTTAAAATCCTGTGTAACTAACTCCGACATGACATCCAAGCACCTGTCTAAAGGCCAAACAGTGATGCAACTTGGAAAAGTCCCTTGGAAAGCTAGGATACATGCTGTAAGTGAGGCGGGGGCGTTCAAGGACTACCTGCCTGCACCCCGAAGGCCAGGGAGAGAGGGGCGGCCACAAGCCCTTTCTTTTCAAGGGATGGTCTAGAGTAGACGAGCACGCTGGGAAATTAAGTAAAACAGGGTAGGACAGAGACTGAGGTGCTCCGTTTGGGTCCCGAAGGAACCGTGGTTCCTTCCTAGCTGTCATTCGAGCGGGAGGGTCGCGGTAGGGGTGCGAAGGCTGCCAATCCCTCTTCACTAAAGGGAAGTCCTGGAGACTCTCCTCCCACCCCCGGCCCCGCAGCAAGTCCCCCCCGCAATCCCCACCATATGTTCCTGGCGTCTTCCCGGCAGGGCGCGGCGGGCGGGCACCAGGAGCGCACCTTCCAGCGGGAGGACCCGCGAGCCTGACGCGGGCGCTGCCAGGTGCTCCGAGGGCGGACGCGCGGGCTGAGCTGAGCCCGAGCCCCTCCGGGCCCCGCCGCCCTCGGCGACATCTCGGCGCTCCAGGTCCCCGCACACACCCAGCCCCGCTCCGGCGCCGGGCTCACTTACCCACCACCACCGCCTCCGGGTCCCG